TATATTGTTTTATAATTGTTAACACAGCTTTAAATTAATATAATACAATACAATATAATATAATATAACACCTTAGAGGTGCAACAATTTGTTGTTAATAAATTAACATTAACATAACTTCAGTTGTTTTCTATACTGTATATTGATATAATAAAGTTCACTTGTAGCCATCTCCATACTGAATTAAATTTGTGCATTTATTTTTTTTAGGTTTGTGACATCATCTTGAGCCATTCACAAGCATCTGATCAGAGCTGCAGGCAGACAGGTTCCTGCAGGTCTCCAGTTCACCACCATGGAGGCTGCCATGCTGAACAGGACCAGGCTAAACATTGAATAGGTTTTTATGAGATCAGGAGCTGCAGTGGTGCTGTGGAGCTCTTCATGGAGAACAATCTGCATCTTCAGAGACTGTGACTCTGCTGAAGACTCTCATCACATCTCCTCTGACCACAGCTGAATCTGAGAGGAGCTGAAGACAATCCAGACTTTCCTCAGGTACAACATCACATCTCACATTGACCATGCTCTATGAGAATCTGGTTAAAACATCCCTGAATTTAACCAGAGTCATGAAGAAATTTGCTTCTCAGTAACAGATGAGCAAATTTTATGTATTAAAAATAATACATAACATGACATTGTAATGCTGTTTGATTATTGTCATTTGTTTAATAAATACACTGGCGTGATACAACTTAGTACATGTTTGATTGCTTTTTGAGATACGTCTATTTTGGAGTTGTAGCCCCACCTGGAGAAAATCCACCAGCCGCCACTGCTTAATAATATAGTGTAAGTATGTTAACCATCCTATTGGGTCAAAATGGCACAAGGCCTAAAGCCTTATGGACCATACTGACCCCATGAAGCTGGAGAGTTAAACCTAAACATAGATAATAAAAGCAAACATAAAACAACCAAACTCTTCATGTGTCTCACCGATCCTTGAGCTGGCACTGGAGAAGCTGTTACACACTGGGCAGCACTCTCCCTCAGGCGTGACGACCTTCTCGCAGTTCGCCAACGTTTCACACTGAACCTCGTCGCAGATTGAGACGCCATTGTCGCAAACACACACGCGACAAGGCGTGGGTTTCCAGATGTCGTTGTGTTGGTGGACCTCCCCGTCGGCCTTGCAGCTCTCACCTTTATCATCTGCAGCTACAGACAATTTAACAAAGTAAGACTGTTTTCTTTATTTTAGCACAGTAAAACTACACAGTGTTCAATATAATCATCTTTAGGTTTTCAAAAACCTGAAGTGTCAGTTTAATTTTAAAGAAAATTTATTTTCTCATGTGCTGCTGTTCAAGTATATGTTTAGGCAGAACATAAGAAAAAACAATTAGTTGTGCTTTGATCAGCTTTACCCATAATTAAATAAAAATCGTTATACAGCTGGTGAATTAACCCTCTAACAATTCTGGTTTGAATGCATATTACCTGTCGCCTTTCAGGGCAAGACTTTTAAACAATCTCTCAATAATAATAATAATAATAATAATAATAATAATAATAATAGTAATAATAAGGTAGTTATGATGTGAGATGTCTGACCACTTGCACTTAAATCAACCCCAGTATGGATGCTGGGTATGAACAGGGTCAGACTGCAAGCTCACTTTCTCAGTGGAGCCACTATTGTTGATTGCTGTCACAACTAAAACTGCACTTAGCTACCAGAAAATTTCAATAACACATTACTAAAAAACCAACAAGAGTTTGTTTTTACTGTGACAACACATCCCTTGAAAGAATCATGTTTTTCTCTATCTTTTTTTCTTTTGCTGCTGGTTTGCTTGAAAGATCATGCACCATATTGTACACGACAAAGATTGTATAGGATCTATAATTGCTAAAGTATGTGTTGTGAATGACTCCCAGCTACAAACACACTAAATCTGAGTTCAGTATGTGTAAAATTGACTGAGTTGTAGCCATCTTGATTCCAGTCATCTCCAAAGGCTAATCCTAAGGTCAGAAATATGCATTCCTTTAAGAAATATTTAATTTCACTTTAACATTTCAGTTTCATTTGACAGGGCCGACCCATGGCATTGGCAGTCCAGGCAAATGCTAAGAGTGCCATTCATCTAAGGGGCGCCACAAATGGGGAATTAAAAAAACCAAAACAAAACGTTATATAATTTTTCTCAGAGAATGGTTGATTATTCTGTAGAATAATTTCTAGTTACTCAAGTTTGTGGGTTTCTCTGCCTGCTTTGTTAATACATGAGCTTTATAGTGCAGCAACTACTGTATTACTTGATAAAAGTATCAAATGATTCAGTCACGACTAACTACTAGAGCTCAGTGTGTAAATAGAAAACAAAATAAAGATAATGAAGGTTTCGGTTACAATCTCAGATAAAGTTCAGGTTAAAGTCTGGCTTTAAGTGTTCTACCGTCACAAAATAATGATTTTATGTTGATGTATTAATCCCAAGATTTTAGTAAAATGCTACTCAAATGGCTGAAAAAAAAATCCTAGGGTAGTATACCACTGGACCCCCCTAGAACTGCTTCAGTCCACAGCTACTCATTGGCATGAAAAGGTGTTCCTCATTGCTGTCAGCAAATGTTGGCAGGTATGAGGCAGACTTCTGGTATTCTGACAAAACTATTTAATTTGGTATGTGAATGGATGTTAATTGGCAGAGAGATTTAGAAAATTGCACAGGAGCGCCACCTGAAATCTTCCCTAGGGCGCCAAATTGGCTAGGGCCGGCTCTGTGTGTTAGAGTGTAAGGTAAACTACCTGTCACCGTGTCTGTGCTCGGAATAAGTGTTGAAGCAGCAGCTAGGCACACGGGACAACATTCGCCCTCTGGGATCACAGCGTTCTGACAAGCACTGAGATCCTCACACACCACGTCTTCACAAATGGTGACACCGTTATCGCACATGCAGATCCGACACGGCTCAGGGTTCCACATCTCCTTGTTGGGGTAGACTTGTCCATTTTCTGTGCAGAAGTCTGCATAAAACACAAATGTAGACAAATTTGTTCAGTCTGTTAATTAGAGTTGCAGCCATTGTCTTTCTTCTTTCTTTTATATTTTAAAGCTGAAAGAAAAATGTAATTCTTAAAATAAATAAATAAATAAATAAATGTGGTTAACAAAATAATCACTGAGTCAATTCAAAGTTAGAACATTGGGAGGTTTAATAGAAATAGACTCCTGGCTGCCTAAAAAGCTGCTAAAAAGCGTTAAAAGCTGTTTTTTACGTAATAGGACCCACACTTGCAGACTTGCTAAACCTCTCTCTTTCATCAGGATGTGTCCCAGAATCCTTTAAAAAGGCAGTTGTGGAACCCATACTAAAAAAGCAATCTTAAACCCATCCGATCTGAATAACTACTGGCCCATTTCAAAGATACCATTTTTGTCTAAGGTCTTGGAGAAAATTGTTTCGGTACAATTAACATCCTGTAAATAATCTTTTTGACGACTTTCAGTCTGGCTTCCGCAGATCTCACTCTACAAAGACTGCCCTCCTACATGTCTCAAATGATCTGCTAATGTCTGCTGATGGAGGCGTGTACTCTGTCCTCCTCTTACTGGACCTTTCCTCAGCCTTTGACACTGTCGATCACTCTATTCTCCTTCGTAATCTGAAAGAAATAGGGATATCCAGGGTGGTGCTAGACTTGTTCAAATCATACCTCTCAGGCCGCTCTTTCTCAATCTTATTAGGCCAGTCTCTCTCAGACTCAGCCAAACTCTCCTGTGGGGTTCCACAGGGTTCCATCCTGGGCCCGATTCTATTCCTGCTCTACATCCACCCCCTGACTAAGGTCATCAAAAATTTCCCAGACATCTCCTACCATTTCTATGCAGATGACCTGCAGTTATACTGCTCCTTTAATGACTCCACCACCCACAAGCTCACCTCTCACTAAAGTTAACCAGTGGCTGTCTGACAACTTGCTGCTTTTAAACCTCAGTGAGACAGAGACATTGATCCTGGCTCCTGAAAATAAAATCTCAAAGATTAAAGAACATCTCGGCTCTTTGATTCAGCCATTCAGCAGAATGTGCACAACCTGGGAGTAAATCTTGACTCAGATCTGTCTCTAGATAAACACATAAAAAATCTGGTATCTACATGCTACTTTCAACTTCTGAATACCTCTAAACTCTGGCCCCTGCTGTCCACTTCAGACTTGGAAATGGTAATTCATGCTTTCATTTCTACCTGCTTAGACTATTGTAATAGCTTGTTGACCTGTTTTAACCAGAAACAGTTAACTCGCCTTCAGCTTGTCCAAAACTCAGCAGCAAGACCCCTAACTCGAACCTCCAAATTCACCCACATCTCCCCGATCCTAGCAGAACTTCACTGGCTTCCAGTTCAATTCAGAATCCGGTTCAAAATCCTGGTCCTCACCTTCAGAGCTCTTCATGGCCAAGCCCCAGAATACATTAAATGTCTCATTTCCCCTCACAACCCCAGACGAGACCTCCGCTCACAAGATCAACATCTCCTTGATTTGATTTGATTTGATTTATTTATTTAACAGGAAAAGATTATTAAAAATCAAGCCTGACTCAGCATAATTGCTGTTTTACAACAGGTTCCTGTTCTGCAGCACATAAAACACTCAGAATTACAGCATCACAATCACATCATTATACACCATAGACACAAAGACAAACAAGCATACCAACCAACCTTATGGTTCCCCTCACTCGCTTTAAGACCCCTTGGCGACCAGTCCTTCTCCTCTGTGGCCCCCAGGCTCTGGAATGAACTCCCTTTTAATCTGCGCTCCCTTGATAACAATATTGTCTCTTTCAAGAAACTCTTAAAAACTCACTTTTTCACTCAAACATTTAGCTAACCATTTCACCATTAATGCCAGCCTACCTCCATTGTAAATGCTCGCCAATCTGTGTTTGTTTTTATTATTGAACTTACACCATATTTTCTCTCCCGCATTCATCATGTTTTTGTGCATTACTGTATATTTTGAACTGCACTGACCATGTGTCTGAGTTACAATTTTAGAAATTAATTCTAGATTTGATGTTTCAATTTTCGTTGTTTATGTTTAATTATGTTTTTCTGTTTCATTTTATTCTTTCCACCATTTTATACTGTTAATGATTGTACAGCACCTTGTGAATATATTTCTGTGAAAGGCCTCACAAATGTGCTTCTGGAAGAATGGTCAAAAATCCTCATAAACACATTCCTAAACCTTGTGGACAGCCTTCAGAAGAGTTGAAGCTGTTCTAGCTGCAGAGGGTGGACCAACGTCATATTGAACCCTGGATTAGGAATGAGATGTCACTTAAACTCATGTGCGAGTCAAGGCAGGTGAGCCAATACTTTTGGCAATATAGAGTACATTGTGTATGTATTCCTGGTAAAATGCTAACATGTTCAAACCTCTTGACCATGCCTGCAGTCTTTCTTTTTGATGTTTCATTCAAACTCCATTTTTACTGACCATTTAACAAACTACAGGGTGAGTCAAAAGGCTCAGGCATACATGTCATCCCCTTCGGACATTCACCTGTATGATAAGCCTCAAAAATTCATATTTTTTGCAAAATATTAATTACACGTGCGGGGATTACAGGACCTGCAGCAGAAGCAGGAGGAAATGGGGACAGGAGAACTTATTTCTAGAGGCAGAGCGGGTTGGAAGATGGTTATTTGATGCTATTTGTTGTTGTTTATTTTTTTGTTTGTTTTTTGTTTGTTTTGTTTTGTTTTTTACGTCCTATAGGCTCTGTTAGATAAATTTGAAACTGAGTTTTTGAAAAAATCCGTAAAACTTGAAATAATCTGTGAGATTGCTCTATACGTCCATATACCTTCAAAATGAGAGAAAATTGGTGTAGTAAATTACGGACAATCCGTACAACTTGACATGTATGCACAGGATATGATTTTATTTTGAAACAAAAAGGGGAAATTAAATATTTGAATACCCCAGCAAGGTGAGGGGGCCTGAGTTGTTCAGAACATACAGAACATGGCCACCATCTTGAAAGCTGGATTAAGGGCAAATTTTTCCAAAGAGTGGAGACGGTATGTCATGATGGATCAGTGGTTAACACTGGTGTCTCACAGCAAGGAGGTCATGGGTTCAATACTGGGTTCAGACCTGGGATCTTTCCGTTCAGTTTGCATGTTCTCCTCATGCTTGCATGGGTTTTTCTTTGGGTACTCCGGTTTCCCCCACAGACCAAAAATATGCCTATAGGTTGTCCTTAGGCCCAGGCCTCCCATGATATAGAGATCTGTGATCTCAATGGGATTTGCAGGGTTTTTTTTTTTTCTGATACAGTCAGGATATTTTGGTTACTGCTGTTCAGTCTAGAGCCACAAGTTGTAGAACCGAGTTCAAATTCAACCTAAGTTGCTGCTGGATGGTGTTTTTGAGAAGCTGGACAGGAATAATCTTTAAATTTAATATCTGCTTGTGCTTTTCTTGAGCAAAAATGGCAAAAAAGCATTTGCACAATTATTTTTCTGTATTTTGTGTTTATTTTCCTTACTTTTTTGCACTACTACTGCATACTTTGTGCTATTTTAGTTATTCATATCGCAAAACATTCAAGTCATTCAAAAAATGGGTGCTATAACTTGTGTTTTTTGTGACTTTTGTACATTTTAAACTGTTTTACTTTGTTTACAAATATATATTGAGAATTCTTCAAAAACATTGCTCTCCCTTAAATCTGCTTTAGCTCCTGGCTCTGTTTTTGTCCTCTTATTATTCTGCTACTATTAACAAGATTTTTGCTTATTTACTGTAATCTACCTTACCTGGCTGGTCTTTTCTTTAATCTATCACAGAGGAATATAAAGTATGTAAAAGAAAAAATAAGGTAAAGTAAAAACACCTTAACAAAAACTTACTTTGGTTAAAAAATTAATTTCACTAAAAAATATTTAACTGCTCACAATAACTGAGAAAATAAAAGTCCTTTTACACACACTCTAGGAAATGAAGTGTTTAATTTACTTGACCACACTAGCTTCTATTGAGCAATATATAACGAAAATGTGAAAGTTGTTTTGTTCAGCGTAGTTTAGTGAAACCAGTGGGCAAACCCTGGTAAAGTAAATTCAACATTTCGTTTTTTAGAGTGCATAAACAGCCATCATGATGAGTTCCAGTCAAATTTAAATTTGAAAGTACAAAAGTGAAAGTACCATTTTTATATTTTTGTAATGAGATAAATGTAAAAGTTACAATTAAAATAATACTTGGTAAAATTCCAAACCCTCAAAATAAATTGTTTAGTACTGTAATGAAGTAAATGTATTTTGTTAGCACATTTCTGATCTATCATTTTGATACTTTACCTATTAGCCTTAAGCTGCTTTATTTTACCTTTTAGCCATTAGCAACTTTAATCTACCATTTTGCTTTTTCAGCTCGCTAGCATGTTTTAATCTACCATTTTCCTCCTTTACCTTTTACATTGATTGAGCTTTACTATTTTGAGCTTTAAGGTAGCATTTAGCTACTGTTAGCCTTTACTTGGTCTTTTGCTAATCTTAGCTTCTTGCTACAACTAGGTGCCACTGTTAACAAGCCTTCTGTTACTATGGAGGACCAAACCTATCATTATTGGAAATAAATGTATAAATATATAACTGGCGTATTAAAATAAATTATAGGGTCAAAAAGAAGTTTGACAAATAAATTATTGTGCCATTAAATCAATTACATCAATTATTTAGATATAAATGTGTATTTACATTTTAATTTTGAAGGATTATATTTTCTCTATGTGCTTTATCGCATATTTTTTGTTTATGTT